GTCTCCCCTCAGTCTCCTCTTCTCCAGGCTGAACAGACCAAGTGACCTCAGCTGCTCCTTGTATGGCTTCCCCTCTAGGCCCTTCACCATCTTAGCAGCCCTCTTTTGGATGGTTTCTCATAGCTTTCTCTCTTTCTTCTATTGTGCCCAAAACTGCATGCAGGATTCAAGTTGAGGCCAGACCAGTGCAGAGTGGAGCAGGACAATCACCTCCCTTGACTGGCTGGTGATGCTGTGCCTGATGCACTCCAGGACACGGTTGGCCCTTCTGGCTGCCAGGGCACACTGCTGACACATCTTCAACTTGCCATTGACCAGGACCCCCAGGTCCCTTTCCACAGTGCTGTTCTCCAGCCTCTCATTACCTTGTCTGTATGTACATCCAGAGTTGGCCTGTCCCAGGTGCAGATTCCAGCACTTATCCTTGCTAAACTTCATACAATTAGTGACTGCCCAGCCCTCTGATTTGTCTAGATCCATCTGCAGGGTCTCTCTGCCTTTGAGGAAATCAACAACTCTTCCTATTTTAGTATCATTGGCAAGCTTACTTACTATCCCTTCAAGTCCTGCATCCAAGTCATTTATGAAGCTGTTGAAGAGAACTGGCCCTAATATGGAATCCTGTGGAAGCTCTTGCCTAAGCTGCCACCCCTTCTCAGAGATTGCAGAGTCATTTTTTGTCCCAACCATGTTTAGTTTGCTTGCCTTAAGTAAGCAAACACCGGTGTCTCCTACCTTCTCCATCTCAAGGAGTTGCTCTTCCAATAAGTGGATCAGCTTGGTGTCAGGCCACCCCAGGGGAGAGGACTAGGACTGGAACCAGAGATCAGGAGGATCAAAAGAGTTGCTGAACCTGTGGTAACCCTGAGATGTGGGCTCCCCTAGGAGATGCCTAAGCTCTGCCTCCTTTGCCTTTATGAATGGTGAACCTTTTCTGCACTTCTTAAGATAGCCATAAGCCACTTTTAAAGACCACAGTGACATTTTCCACAGGGAAATCACTAATTATGTGTATTTTCAGTTGCATTAATGGGAACTCGAAACTTTGCTGCTCACAAAGGTCACAGTTGCCTCTTGATGAGGAAAATGTGGCAAATTACCCTCATTCATTCACAATCAGTAAAACTAACGAGCAGAACAATATGTTAACACAGACTTATTTCATCTGGACTGCCCAAACTGCAGTGCAGTATATTGTATATGCTAATGAGCAGTAATTTACAGATAATGAAATTCAAGAAACAGGCCATTTTTCTAGTTTATGTACAGACACCATCCATGGGTCCCAATATTAATTTGTGCCACGATATACTGACAATACAAATGCTGGGAATGCCAGTTAAGTGGATTGTACCATAATACATACTTAATAAATTGATATACATTTTTTTAAATTCAGAATTAATGTTTTCTTTCTTTTACTAACATGCCCTGTACCAACATGCCTTTAGTAAAATACAAAACAAGGCACTCTTCTGTAGGAAATAGTGGTGAAACAATACCAAAGCATGGCTGGTAATTCCTTAGTGCTGAGAGCTGGAGTTGAGGTTTAAGGCGAATTGGAGTGAACAATATTTTTCCCTCTATGACTTACATTATAATACTGCTGACCATTTATATATGCTGAATAGCTTCTTCCCTGATCTTTGAAAAACTTTACAAGGACAGGTAGGAGTAGTCATTTTTCAGTGGGCAGGAGCTGAAGTTGCTCAACATTGCTGTGAGTTCAGAATTGCTAGACTCAGCCATTATTTAAAGAAAACTATTGAGTTATCATTTTCTCAATTAGGTGCCCTAAGTCAGTTAAGTAATTCCAGATAGAAGAGTTGTAAACAATAATATTTGGGTAAAATATACGTAAGGAATGAGTCTTTGATAATTCTAGACTCCCACAGATGACATTAGCATCCTGCCTGCCTTTCCCATCTTTACAAAAATAGCTCTGTGTACCTGATAAGGTAACTCTAAGACATATCTAAAGGTCACAAGGACCTTTTCAAAAGGGAAGCCTTTAAATATTGAAATGATGGGACAGGAACTTGAAGAAAAGCATACTAAAACCTGGTGCAATGCACAAACCTGGAGTAGTTCTGGCAAAAAAAATCTTATGAACTTTCAGATGCAGGACAGCATTTCTGAAGGAGTCAAAGAGCAGCCAGCCTCACATTGCAGCAAGTTTTAAACAGCTAATGTTTATATGATCCCCCATCTGTGAGGGTCCACGTGAACAGTTTACAAACTGAAACAATATTGATATACATTTTAAGCTGTAATTCAGCATGCCAGGATCAGATTTACCATGACTATGAGAGGAAGCTACATGGAAGTATCTGCAGCATTTAAATTTGGAAGCCCAGAATTTTAAAACACTCTAATTACTCTCCTCTTGTGAGATTGCTTTGGATTTAAAAAACTTAAAAGAAATGGTCAGTTCTGTCATGTTTTATTCACTTATTTCCAAGAGCACTAGCAAAAGCTGAAAAAAACCCGTACTCTGGATTTCTACTGCAGGATTTTATTTAGCTGCCCATGCTACACAGATTCACACATGTTGTTCTAGCATGCCAGAGAACACAAATTTTTGGAAATTAAATTATCTCTGTCAGGTTCACCACAGTTTTAAATCAATTACAATGGGGACAATTTAAAAGAAGAATAAAAAAACAGCTTTCCTATTGCATGAAAAGATTTAGTATTATTGGTGTAAACACTATTTGTAGACTGGTGTTTGTCTCAGGTGTTTGCTCAAAAGGCACAGACAATCTTCCATCAGTATCTATTTTAAAAGTGCAAAAATGTAAAAATTATTTTTTGGTGAGAGACTAACACCTGACTAATCTGAAGACAGGAGAAGTAAATATAGAAGATCACAAAGCTTCCAGCTACATACGTGACTTCTGATGATTCATGGCTGGTTTAGCATCTGAAATTTCTGTAGCAGAAATAGATCACTCTCATTTGAGGGCAAAATGCTTATAAAGCTATTTTCTGACATTCTTTTATATTTAAATGTCAAAACAGCTTGTATTTGTGTTCTGACTGCAAACATATACATGCAAAAGTTCTAAGAGAAGTCTAAGAATCAAAAAGGCATTTCAGCTATAACTCACATTGGGAAGAACAGGGAAGAGCTTAAAAATACCCACGTGTATTGCCAAAGATACTCAAATGGGTTCTCAGATAGAGTAGGGGGCAATACCGTTCAAAAGACAAGTCTTTTTTAAAGCTTGGAGATAATGGACCAACATTTCTTTTCAGATGTGGTGACCAAAGAAATCTTTCATTCAAGGCACCTAATATTTTATCTCAGATGGAATTGTACCCAAAGTTTTTTTAAGATCCCCTGAGTGGGGAGCCAACAAATTAATTCAGAGTTTAAGAGATGGAAGTCTGTTTTCCTTCTCTGTTCCTGTTGTGAGCTTTACAAAGCAAGCAGAGGCACTAGGAGTCTGCTCTATCCTCTCCATTACATTTATCAATAAGAAAACAAGAAACAGGGTGTTTATATTATTGCAAAGGTGACCCCCCTCATTCAACATTACCTGCACGTTACTGCAGAACTGGGTTTTCTGAGAATCACAGAATCACAAGATGGGTACAGCTGGAAGGGACCACTGTGGGGTTTTGCAGCTCTGGCCTTGCCAGAAACGATAATTTTGCCAGAAAAAATTAAGTTTCCCATCCAAGGAAATATGACTTAGTGGGTCAGGGAGACATCAGGTGTAAGAATCTACACAAAATAAGCATAAATGTTTTTAAATACATAAAATATATTGGAAATGTCATTACACAAAGCACTGCAGACTACTAAATATAAGTGCAAAATTTTCTAATAACCAAACTCCAAATCAAAGAACATTCAGGTGCATTTCATGTTATTCTTAATAATATTCTTAATATATGGTTTCAAAAATAATTGAACAAATTAAAGGAACAAAAGTCAAAGACTGTTAAATTTAGAAGGCAACCTCTCCAGCCAACTGCTGGTGGAGTTTTTCAGGGGAGTGTCACTAAACATGTGTCCTGCTCAAAGGCTGTTCCCATAATTGCTGTAAGAGACAGGCCAGTGGGCTTGATAAACACCTTTTCACAAGAGGAGATCAGAATAAAACTTTAAATTCAATTCTGCAGTTGCCAATCTTATTTTGACTTTTCCATACCTAAGAAGTAATGTTGTGCTGCCATCAGCTGGAGTTAAGGCATGTAAGGAAAAGGGTTTTTTTGAGTAGAAACTATGTTGTGCCATTGTGTACCCAGGCCTCTCTCAGTTTGGGTGGGATGTGTATCTATACCTGAAAATTTAGAGGTCTTTATGTCCAGAAACATAAAGGTTGATTATGTGGTTTGCATGTATAAGCATGAAAACATCCAACTTGCTTTCTTTCTCAATGAAGTCTGAACCTTCCCTCATGTATTCCTAACCTAGTAGGCAAAGCTTTACCTTTTTTCTTTCATTTAATTTTTAGGACTATCAGGAAGCTTCTAATTTGGAGCAGTTTGTGACTCGCTTTCTTTTGAAGGAGACACTGAACCAGCTTCAGTCCCTCCAGAGCTCTCTGGAGTGTGCCATGGAAACCACGGAGGAGCAAACTCGGCAGGAGAGGTGAGCAAACCCCCTCTTCAGCTTAGTGAAGACAATGAGGAGTGAGGTCACCATGAACCTCCAAGACCTTTTAACATTCCACCCAGCAACCTGATGTAAGGAATAACAGGAGATATAAGGATACACTTTTTATTCCATATAGGAACCCACTAATAGGAGTTTTCCTGAAATTGAGTACATCTGATCCTGTGGTGGGCTACATGTAGGAAGACCACGTTGGTACATCCTGGCTCTGCTGACATCTTTTAAAATCCATTGACAATATCAAATGCAGAAACCAGAGCACCACAATGTGAAGAGCTCTGAGATTAGTAAGACAACTGACTGTCACATTTGTTTCTTCTGGCTGGGGTTTTGTGCCAGCAGCTTGACTGCAGGAATCAAGCAGGATTTGAAAGGCTGAGGCTGCACAGTGTATACATTCCCTGCATTCTTGCATATGTCTTTCCAGGTTCCCCACAAAACTCATGGGAAAGAAAGGAGTCTTGTATGGCCAGTTCAGAGCTGGAGCCTAACCTAGGTGCTCTTACATCTCCTGGAGTAATCATTGACTTCTCTGACTTGTCTCTCAGAACAGGATCCCCAGCAATACAGTCTAGAAAGACTATCTGAGTAACTCAGACTACTCAGTTGGGCACACAGAATTGGATTATATGAACATCTCTTTTGGAGACAGCATTTTTGTCTGCATTGACTGTCTGGTAGGGCATTGTGGAGACTTTTTTTCCCCAGTTTTATCAGTACAGTTTTTCAGATATATCCTCTTAAACGGTGAATTTGGTTTGTGGCAAAGAAAATGAGCAAGAGGTGTGACACTGTTAAGACAAATACCATCTTCCCATTTTCTGAAGTAGCAAGGAAAAAGCCAGGCAAACTCAGCACTTCAACCACAGCTATTTTGGAGAAAAGGAGTTAGTTCCTAGGGCAGATGCCCCAGTCCCTATGTAAAATCATCTTTTATTATGTTTAACTGTCTGAATGAAAATTGCATTAAGACACTACAAAACTAATTTAAGAATGCTCACAGTGGAGAACTGCCATAATTTGGCTTACTGTGAAGGGATTTGATGCTGAAGAAAACATCATCCAAAAACATCTTCTTAGCATAGTGTGTGAACTTGTGGTGAGCCTTTATTCTGTGCTTCTGGAGACCAGAAAACTTTCCAAAACAGTGACATGAGAATTAGTTACTGAATTTTTTAGACTACTGTCTAATATTCTTTGCAACTACTCATCCAACTGTTCAAAACCATAGCCCTGGTCCTTCATTGCATAATGAAGAACCATGGAGAGACAGCTTTCAGTACTCACACAAACTCTGAAGCTTCAATGACTCTGTCATCACAGTACAAACATAAGTCATTTCTGTATCTGCTGTTTCACTACTGGTCCCAGAAGTGTACCTGTCTTCCATCCAATATTAGCTAATTCTCATCAGTTTTCCTTCCTTATTAACAGATATGTGTTGCTGTTTATCTTTTCAGTCTTTAAGCTGAAGGGGTCAAAGTTCATATCACTTTCAGTTGCTTGTGTGAAGCCAATTCCTCTGCAGAGATGCAGAAACTCCTGTGAATGAAGAAACTGTGTGAATGATTCCTTAGGTCAGGTCAGAAACACATCACAGACAGACACTATTTATGCCAGCTTAACTCTTCTTATTTTTATTTTTTTTATTTCTCTAATGACCTAACTACAACTAAGTAGTAATAGTGAAAATCTGGGAAATAATTCAGTGGTCTCAATAGGTATTTCTTTTTTTTAATTTGAAAGGGAACATAGAAGTACATTTCTGGAGAACAGAGAGATGAGGGCTGTCCCACATGTTTTGCCTTACGAAGTCTCCTCTGTTTCTGTGCAGAAAAGATCCAACAAACCCAGAAGTGCTCTCAATTCAATGGCCAGGAAAACGCTCAGCTCGAAGGCTTCAGAGGAACAGCAGCCTGTCAACAAATAGCCCTCATTCTAGCACAGGTATGAAATTTCACATTTTAAGGATATTTAAAACATGTGCAGACACACATATACGGAAAAATATAAACATATCTTCCTTTCAAAAAATTAATTTAGACATGTAACTAATTCATACTTTACTGACAGAAAATTTAATATGGAATGTATTAACTCAAACCATAAGGAAAATGTGAACAGATAAAAATAAATGCATAATTATGGGGCAAATTGTGATACTGTTTTGGGGCTTTGGATTTGACACTTTCTGCCACCCACCAAATGATGCTGTTCGTCCAGCACAATGATGCAGGATGATGTTTGGTCTCTTGTTGTGAGTTGCTACTCTTCATAAGGAAGGCCACGTAGCCTTGTTGCTGCACAGAGTTCAGAAGGAGCCCAAACATATGCAAGCTGTACCAAATCTGCTTACTGTATTCATGTAATTTTAAAGAGCTAACATCTTTCTCCACACCTATACTAATAACTGTCTAACAGCTGGATACTTACCTAGACCAGATTTGTGTTTGTCTTGGCACATGGTCTTCCTCCTTACAGCCTGCTGCCCACATGCACAGTAACACTGTGGGTGTGTATATGCATTCAACACTCAAGCCAGCATTTCTTTAGGCTTTGTACTTGTTCAGGTAAAGCCAAACCCTGCCTCCTCCACAGATCACAGCTGTAGTATGTTCTCAGCATTAGGATTTCTTTATTTGGTCAAAACATATACAAGTGCCACAACAACTCTCAGCTGGAAAATGAGCAGGTTAATGAATGAATGTAACAAGAGCACGCATTGAAAAATTTTCAGTTTCTGAAAAAGATCCTTAGACTCTTCCTCTCTCCTTAGAGCAATCACTTGTATACACATTTGCACTGTGGGTGATGTCAGGAACTGCTTTAATAATGCATATATTTGTTTCCCAGAGTATTGTCCATCCCATCTGATCGACAAGTTTCATGAGACTTTAGCAAAGCAAAATTTTCTAGTGAATCATAGAATATCCTGAGCTGGAAGGGACCCACAAGGATCATTGAATTCTAACTCCTGGCCCTGCACAGGACAGCCCCAAGAATCACACCATGTGCCTGAGAACATTGTCCAAATGCTTCTTGAACTCTGTCAGGCTTGTGGCTATGACCGCTTCCCGGGGGAGCCTGTCCCAGTGCCCAACCACCCTCTGGGTGAAGAACCTTTTCCTAGTACCTACCCTAAATCTTCCCTGACACAGCTTCCTGCCATTCCCCCTGTATCCTGTCACTGGTCACCAGAGAGAAGAGATCAGTGCCTGCCCCTCTGGTTCCCCTCATGAGGAAGCTATGGACTGCAATGAGGTGTCCCCTCAGTCTCTTCTCCAGGCTGAACAAGCAAAGTGACCTCCACCACTCCTTGTATGGCTTCCCCTCTAGGCCCTTCACCATCTTCATAGACCAGATGCTTGTGCCTTTGTAGAACATCTTCTAGCTTCACCCTTGCTATATGACATCAGGTCAGGCTGGATGTGATCCTGAGCAAACTGATCTACTGGAAGGTTTTCCTGCCCCTGGTCATTATATAGGTAGGAATATAACTGCAGTGGAAATGGAGAGTTTTCTTCAGGAATCAACATGATTTCGAAAGCACAGGTATTAATCTAGAATGTAGTTTTCATTCCGTATTGGATTTCTATTTTATCTTAAAAAGAAAGAAAATAATCCATAGAGTCAAAATATTGCTTTCTTTTAGTTTTACCTAATTGAATATTGAACTAGTTACAGTGCAGTCCTTGAGAAGCAAAATAAATTGTAGGCTAAACTTTTACATATATATATATATCTGTAAAATAAAGAATACGGTGTGTTCCAGCAATTTACTAATATCTTGTAAATGTTCGTTATTTATTTTTTTCCAAAGGTTGGATTGAGGAAGACAGCCAGTGGGTGACCCAGATAAACAGACTCCAAAAGCTGATTGACAGGCTGGAAAAGAAGGTGTGTGTTTCTTTTCACCTGTTTGTTCTCTCACTTTCAGTAAAGCAATCCTTAAAACACAAATGTTTTCAATGCCTCAGTTACAGTCTTTTCAATAAATAATAAGTGAAACTTCAACATCACCTGAGAGAGCTAGCACTCATTAAATGCCTACATTTTTCTTCCACCTTTCTCTTACCTATTTCATGAGACCATGGCACGGTTTCTCCATGCTCTCCTTTCCCATTTCCATCACCACAGATTCAACTATTCATAAAGATCTGAAAAACTGCATTACTCTATGACTGGAGGACGTTACTGTATTTAGATAATCTTGTTTGGGGGAATATAGTACAAGCCTCTCTTTTTATGATCTGGTATTTTTCCTTTCCTCTCCAAACTTTCCCACTAAACTTGACAGAAAGTTTCGTTTCCTCTTTTCCCATTGGAAAATACTCATTTATAAAGATTAAAACACTTTCCTAATAAGTACAGTTCAACCAAAAGCTGATGCAAATCCCACCTGGGAGCCCAGAAACCACCTGTGGCTCCCATGCCAAAGCAGAGCCCTATAGGAGTAAGAGAAATGACCAACGAGGCCAAGGCTTCCTGGGGCTTGTAAAATCCTGAGCCACAGTTTTCTATACAGAAAATATCTGTTATTTTAATTATTATTCAGATTTGATTGCTATCCTAGTGTTTAAAAGTTGGTTTATATATGCATGTGGTGACCTTTTTTTTTGGAGAAGAAAGAAGAGCAGAGGAAAAAGTAAGGTTATAAATTCCTGAACTGGTCTCTACATAAAGTGTTCCAATTGAAGGACAGAGAGACAATTTCAGGTAGGCTCTAGGGGAGTGGCTGAATTCAGTGGATTTGGGGACCTAGACGCTTCCTCCTCATGGTGCACTAGAGGCAAGGTCCTAGGCTGAAGAGCTCACAGACCCAGGAGTAGCTCCATGTAGCTGATGCTGCTCCTCCCCGCAGGGCAGTGCTCATCAGTGGTGAGACTGCATGTACTCCAAAGACATTGGCATGGGTGTCTTCACAGGCACCCACACACAGGCAGCAGTCACAGGAACATGAACATGAAACAGCCTGATCCTGTCCTTTCTTTCCAGCTGATTGGGAACATTATCATAGGCTTTAAGTTTATCTGGTATTTGTGGCTGTGTCCTGGCAGACAAGTGTCTCCTCTTATTTGATCACTAGTCCAACTTGAGCTCAGTAGCAAATTATACACACAGAAAATCATTAATTAAGGGATTTGACAAAAAGACACAATAAATGGTGGTGATTTGGCACAGGGCTCAGAGCAAGAGAAGCATACTAACCTTTCTCTGCCATTGTTCCCTCACAAATTAAAAACCTGCCACTATTTACTTTTCCCTTTTGCTCCCAGTTTGGGAACAAAGTTTGGTATTTTGGTTATCTCAGCCTTATTACTAATTAGCTGTATAGGGTCACCCCCAGCACATATGGTCACAAGTCGACACTTGCAAGACTTTGTGCTCCAAAAGGAGCCCAGGATTCCCTTCCTTCATCCCTGAGGCCTGACAGCCTCTCGCATCGTTTCTCCTTAACCAGCTGTGAAATTCAGCCATTCCTTGTGGCACTGCCCATAACTTCTGTCAACTTCTCATTCTGCTTGCCATGCTCAGCAGCTCTTCATGGTCTGCTCAGTCCATTAAGCCTCTGGCCAGGGCATACCCATGAGCCTCTATACAACTGCTTCCTCCCAGAGGTCATTTCTGCATGAGAAAGGCAATTACACAGCAGTTACCACATTAATAATGTTTTAATGGCTACTTGATTTTTTCTGAATAAACATAAATTGGAAGTTGAAATGTCAAAGTTCATCATGAAAGGTAAATCTTGCTTTCGGTATGGCTTTGCTCCCAGCTCTGCTTTGGGAGCAGCAGTGCACTGCCCTGCCACAGTTGCAGCCCAACATGGACTGATGCCAAAAGAAAACATTTAAAAGAATGTTACTGAATAAAGACAGAAACCTGGCATATTGCAATAATGCAATGCAGGCATTGCAGAAAGCAGCCAACCATTTTGTGGTAAAAAACCCTTACAACCAGGATATTATAAAATGATCAAATCTGCTATAGATAAATGACAGAGAACTTCAGTCTGAAAACGAGTTTGGTGCCAAAGGGAAACAGTGGCAGGGCATAGACCTCCCATAACTACCTCCTTGTCAATATAAAACTTGATTTATAAAAATTGCAATTAGATAAGCCTAATTTTCCCAGCAGACAGCCTACATTCATGTTTGCCTAACTGCATCTGCTTGATTTTGTACGTCACAGCCATGTCTGACTATGAGAGGTGTTGAATATCAGTTGTCTTTCCCCAGCTACTGAAAGCCCCTCTTTTTGACTTTGCCCTGAAACAGATTAGAAAGGATTGCACAATCATGCTAAAAGGCAATTTCAGGAGCCACCACTTCTCAGTTGATGGGAGGGAGGACTGCACAGGCATTTTAAAGCCCCAGCTCTGAGCTGCATCAGACTGTATTTCCAGGCTGTGTGGTAGCAGGCTGGAAGGAACCTCTGTTCTGCGCATTGGACTATTTCACTTCTGCTCAACATCAAGCTGCCCAATGCATGAGCACTCTCTCCACACAGATGAGGACTGTGTGCCAGTGCTCACATGCTCCGAGGTCACACAGGCTGTCTGAGCAGACTTACCCCATCTGTGTAGTCATGCCCTGTCTAATGACATAACATTACTGAAGAACTCCTATAGATTATTTTTAATTCTTCAGGGGCTAGCAAGTTATTAATCTGTGATTCTTACTGGAAAACTACCTGGTTAAGGGTTGATTTAGTGTTGTCTAATTCTTCTGTTGTCTTCTGTCAAAGGTGAATTTAACCATGAATGAGTCTTGTAAGTTGTCTATTTTTTCTCAAGTTCTAAATTTATATATACTGAGGAAAAGTCATTCTTTTCTTGCTACCTTTAGAGAAAGTTTGTAGTACAACTTGAATCATTCCTTTTCTCTCTTTTTCCATATGTTTCCCTAGAAAAAAATGGCACTGAAAGTATCGAAGAACTACAGGACTAGGCATATTCCCTCAGGTTTTTATCTGAAGTGCCTGCACTGACGAATGAGCTATTAAAGCTGGGTGTATCTCCCTCCACACACGCATTTCATTCCTTTGTATCCACATTCTGCAGGAGAGGTACAGCTACACAGCATTTTCTGAGTACTTCACTCCTGCCTTGCTCTGCCACCTGCTGCTGGTGGAGGTCCTCTGTTCATTTGAATTCTGCCTGCACAGCTCTTGTTGGCTTTTCAGTGAGTACAGAATCTGTGCTGGCAGAACACCTGCTACCTGAGGGGAATCAATCCTCACCCAGGCTGTGAGCAGAAGAAAATGTTTTCTCTTTGCTGCACAAGAACTGTGTGCAGTGAAAAGTGAAGCACCACTAACAAAATGTGTGTTTTGCTCCAGCTGCCGGTTGCAAATCAATCTGCCTTTTTTTTTCAGGCATATGGATATTTTTCAGAATATCCTAATGGCACTGGATGAGAAAGTACTGCATGTGCCTAGCATGTGAAGGATGATTTCATGTGCACTGCTAGTTGGTGTTTGTGTGAATCACCGATTCATAAAGTGCACATCCAGTTTATGAGCCAAGCATACTGCTGCCTTGGGGATACATCTGTTTACTGCAGCCCTTCCTGTCCTCACAGCACGAGCAGCAGTTCGGAAACCTGACTTGGACCATCGTGCATGTCTCTTTCAACACCAGAAAAACAGCCCCTTGCAATCCCCCAGAATCCTCTGTGGAGAAATTTCTTCTGTGTCAAGTCTTATGACTGTGTAATAGTAGCTGATAGTTTATTTCAAATTACAGTTATTGCTCATCTCCATAGTCCACGTGACAATTTGAGAGGGTGTCTGTCTTTCCTCAATTAAGTACAACATACATTTATGAACAAGCAGGTTTGTTACAAATGAAAAATCACCTGCTGAGCATTAGAAGTAAAATCTTACAAAACAGCTCAGGCTGAATTTAATCACTGAGGTGTACAAGATTTTGTAAACAACACTTGTGTTTGACTTACAGCTAATGAAGATGGGATTTAGATATAACTTCTTGAGCTAAAACAGAATCTAGCTATTGAAGTAGTTTGTTAAAAAGGTAAGATCAGAATACAGATGTAGTATTGCCTCTTATACTTTCTGTTTCCTTTTCAACTGCCTCAAAGGACCTAAAGTTTGAGCCATTTGAAGAGGAAGTCCTGGAAGAAAATGCAAGATCTGTAAGTGCTTTTCAAGATAATGATTTTCACGTTTGATTTTGAACTCCAGGTATTGAGACAACAATCTCACCTGGTCTCTTTCGTTAAAAAAATAATTTAAAAAATCATTATCTTATCCTCCCTTTTTCCAGTGATTAAAAACCATTTCAGTTAGCAAAATACACTGTGCAAGAGGCAACAGAGCAAAACTTTGAATATGTGGCCAAAACTTTTATATTAATTTTTGCATTGTTTACAAAGGATGCAGTGAGCTAAAACCTTAACTCACATAAGGAGGAAAAGGTGTCATTAATAAGATTTACCAAGTTTGGCAGCAGTGTTTATGGGGTAGCAGCTCCTCTGCTCCAAATCACCTAATGCTCCATGCATGCTTTAAATCATAGTTGTACAGCCTCCCTCCTTCTCAAAACTGCTATAGGAAACCTTATCAGGAAAGATGGGAGAGTATGTAGTGCTAAGCAGTAATCAATGTTACAACATACAAAACCAAAATCGTGACAGGAAATAAACTACTATTAAGTAAGTTTATGTCTGAGGATTGATACACTTGCATTCCTACATTCAGAGCTTTGAACCTAATAAAATGCAAGCCAAATACACATGAAAAAATAGCCAAAATAGATGATCCATCAAATTGGATCATTTTTTATCAGAGGAGTTGCATTAGAATTTTTTTTAAATCAGATTATACAATATTGCAAGACAGACTGCTTAGAATCCATGAGGTAACAGTATTAACAATCAAGGCAGAAACTAGACAAAAACCTGTAAAAGGTATTAAGTTATAGCCATTAAGAAGCACAGTATTTCTTTATATATTCCAGTAGTAATGCTGACAAGCTTCAATAGATGAATCAATATGCAAACTATTTTAAATAGCTAAATGATAATCATATTAATTCAGGATAAATAGGTCTTCTGCACTGCCGAGTGTTCCCATAGTCCTGCTTATACAGATTGTTCATTGTATTTTGCAGAAAGGTGGAGGAAAAAACCCCTCTCTCTTAACATAGGCTACCCTAGGCATCTCATTCAGGTGTGAGTCAGGGCTCTAAAAGGTAACAGCCTATGAGAACACCTCAGGGAAAGCAGCCATGCATCCAATTCAGATTGTGAGGATATGCTCTTATCCCAAACCTCACACCTGCTTGCATAGAGATTCACCCAAGAAAATACACTGATTTTATTACTGATCTTGTTAAAGATCAACATTTTCTTTGCACACTTCTGAGAAGGCTCTCTCATCTGGGGTTTGGACAACTCTCTCCTCTGAGGTGGACACTCATTTTAGGTGTTTCATTCTCTGCCTCAGCCTGCCTAGACATAAAAGCTACACTTGAGCATTTCTATTTCTCTGCTCCAGAGCACCAAAATAGGGACTGCAAACTTCAAAGGAACTTTTGTGGGTTTTCTGTGATGGTTGTGATTTTTATTGTTTCATTACAGACTTTTCTGAATTTAAAGTACAAGGAGTTCAGATGATGATATGGCATTATATATATATATAATATTGTAATGTTTTTGCATCAGCACATAATGATTGTTCAACATCAAATGTCCGTGATAGAAGAAAAAATTGAGGAATTCCGTCTTGCTCTGAAGCAGTACGTGGAATCTGCTTCTACTCAGGGTGGCTGCTTGCAGTAAGTACAGTGTTATTGTCCTTGGGCTGAAGGAAGGAATATAGCCCAGTTGCTTGAATAACTTGGATTATTTATGAAGGGAGGCCCTGTAACACCTTTCCTGGCAGGTTATGCATTTAAGACAGAGCTTTTGAAAGACAACTAGAACCAGAAAGAGATGTCAAAATGTGCAGATTTCAAGTAGTATCACAAAATTACAATACAGGCTATCCCAATGTTGCTAAACAATATTTTTAGGCTTGTTAGTTATGCAGGTCATCAATTCATAAATTCTGGATGCTCCTAGGCTGACACTCTTCTTTGGAAAACTCATTTGCCATCCTTCATTTGTACTCACCTGACAAGTGAACAACTTACTAACTTGCTTGCCAGTTCTCTGTGTGGAAAATGTCAGAATTCTCCCTTTAAAGAATTTAATTCATAATAAAGAATTGGAAAAATTAAAAAGCAAAATTTTCAACAAAACTGTTTCTGCTTTTCTCCTTATAGAATTAAAGAAAACATTAGAACTAGGTTAAGAATAAATTTACCACTGTACTAAATTTCTAAATTTAACATACTGGAGAAAGCTACTACCATACATGCTACAGACCATTGTGAAAGAAATATTTTGCTTATGTATACACAATATAGGACCTTCCTATATATTCAAAGGCTTCAAAGACTACCTATCACATCCCTAATTTATGAGCCTTGTTGCTATGAGATTGTCACACTTAGATTGAATCAACAGTGTTCACATACACCAGAAAAAGTAAATTAAGCTAGAAGAAGAGTGACCATTCTGCAGTGGTTCACCTGTAAAGGCAGACTGATGAGGAAAATAATATTCTCTTGTTGGCCAAGAGATGACAAAAAACCAAAACAAAGACAAACCACCACCACCCCGGCCCCTCTGCAAAAACTAAAAAAAAAAACAAAACAAAGACAAACCACTACCACCCCGGCCCCTCTGCAAAAACTAACGTCCAGCAACACACTGCACTGACTGCGACTTGTCAGGGGAGAGAGCAGAACGCCACAAAGGGACAATGGCAGAAAGTTCCTTTCCTTCCCAAGTTTACAGGCATTTGGTAAATCCGTAACGCCATCTACCGGATGGGTTTTGCTGTAGCTGTTAATGACAGTCCCTTGGTTTTTTCCAGCAGCTTTTGATATTTTTGCTATTTTACAATGCACTTTCTCATACAGCAGGAGAAAGCTAATAAATCATATAACATAGCTTACTACAGTATGAAATGTATTCTAAGACCCGTTTTCAAGCACATCAGTAGTGAAATCAGCAATCTCACACTTGGGCGCTCAGAGAAATATGTATATATACTTTTAGTGCTATATATCTAAACACCAGTTTAAACACCCAAATGCATAAGTACCCTCCATGCTATAAAGCTTTTATGCTGAGGATGATAAGAGGGATGAACAGACATTCTGTGGGTCATTTTTCACCCATGATAAACTGTTAGCTGAATAGCATAAGAAGTAGTAACTAGTACCCCAAATATTATACAAGTGTATCTGCAGCAGCTATTAGCCTATCTGGCATTATACTCCATTATATATATATACTGCACTTGCTTTCAAAGCACCTAAATGCTATGGCGCCTTGATGTATCTCTCATACAAAAAAGGTAAGTTCTGCTGAGTAATTCTTAAGTGAAACAGCGTATGTTACTCTATAAACTTACTCAAACTGTTCACTACATGCAATATTTGTAATCTATTAGTATACTATCAGTATTATATGATCTTCTCTGAACCACAGTTGATTAATTTTCTGTATTACTGATTAACATTTCTTTAAATAAATGACAATATGGGAGCAATAAGAAAATTGAGTTTCATAAATAAGAGTCCATTTTAAGTATAGTAATATAAAATATAATTAAATAAATATAATGCAAGAGTTTTGGAGTTTTTAAAAAGTTTAGATAATTTGCAGTATATGACCATTTATTTGTTAATTTATTATTTGGGTTGTTCTTTGGTTTTGGTTTTATTGTTTTGTTTTGTGGGGGTTTGGTCACAAATCACTACATTTGGTCCTGCATATAAGCAGTCTGGAATAAGATGTGCATGTCCCATAACTCTGTTGTGTTTTATTCAATTAATTCTATTGTACAATTCTTAGTGTGGCCATACAGAAGCTTCCGAGTAATTTCCGCTTCATTGTTTATGAGTTCTGGGAGAATGGCAGTGCCTGGAATAGGTAAGTTTGGGGGTTTTGGTGGCTTTGTTTGTAATATGTGATGTTTTGAAGGTTAGAAAGAAATTGTATAGAAAGATAATGCAAATTACTTTAAATACTGCTAACTGAGCTCTTGCTAAATATATATCAGGATATTTCAGAACAATACTTCGATTGCTAAAGACTTAAATATACTGAAACACAAAGAAAACTGTCAGAGAGACAAAGCTAATTCAAACCAGACAAAAGTCTGAAAGTGAATACATAAAGATATAGGATCAGATGGATGTTAGTTTATCAGAGACAAAAGAACAGACAGCAATATTTCCAGAGTTTAGTGGTAAAAAAACAAAAGGAGCCAATGAGTGAGACAGAGGTGTGTAAGGTGTGCCATCCACAACACACTTTAGCATGCAAGTAGTCATGGGGAGCCCTCCCAAAGCTTCCTAATCCACATCACAAGAACCCACTGAACAGATTCCCAGAGTGGGCCCAAAATAGAAGTTATACTGATTAAAAGTCCTAGCAGTGGAATTCTAGCCTCCAGTAGGCAGACAACTATGAAATTGAGTAGAGGCAAAAAGACTGTCCTTCACTACACTTAAGTGTTAAAACAACCCAAAGAAACCAAACCTATGATCCTAAATCTGTAGACAGAAACCATTCTGAAGGGAAATGGAGAAGTCTCTTGAAGCTTAGTTGCTTTCCTTTTGAGCAGAAGATGCAGTTTTACTGGGTTTCCTATCACAGACACTCAAGAACACTAATAACACATGTCAACACTGTACTGGGTCACAACCAAGAGATGAGCACCAGAATGACAGCGAGCTGCACAGAAGGGAGTCTGTGTTTAATACAGCATGCAAGCTCTCCTTTAGCTTATCTGGTCTCCTCTCTCACTATCATCACTGCCTAAGTTTTGAAGCACAAAATCCCTGTTACAGCATTAATTATAAAATTTTTAATGCTCATTAAAAAATGGTTATATTCTTATTTTTTACAATTATTTAGCCACCTTGAAATGAATTATAGCAAGACGTTCCAAAGAAGTAGCGTGGATTTCTTGGAAACTCCAGAGCTCCTCACAACCATGTTAGTCCCTGGTAAATATCAACTTTCCACATTATTTTGTTTGTTCCATGTGAAAAATTCTGTTATATTAGTGTATTCCATATACAGGACCATTGCATAATATCACCCTTAGTCAGATCTTCTTTGATAAAGTATGGAGGAGAAAGGGATTCCAAATGTTTTTATTTTAACCACAGAAATGTACAATGCATCAGCAAGAAAAAGACCCACGTTTTATTTTATATAGTGCAAAGTCACACTAGTATATACTAGAAAATATCTAGAATAAGCAAGATTATTTGTGAATGGTAAAATAGACCCTAAGATTTTCAAGCACAAAAATGCTTTCTGATGAACACTTCAACTTAATCCTCCTTACACTGACCAAAGAGAGCCTTAATTGCTAATAATTGTGATTTATTAACCAATTCATTGTGCAAACTTCCTCCTATGTTAAAAACACCCAGAAAACCAAAACTACTTTTAAAAAGCAAGGTGCTAGAAATTCCAAGTTATTATTCCTAATTCAAAGCAATGAGCATGCAACATCATCTTTCTCCTAGAAATGAGAGTTAAAAGAGACAGTGCAGGATGAAGCAAAGCAAGTGTCAGTCCCATATTTACAGAGGGAGGACAACCAGGGTTTCTTTTTATTTCAGGGAACACAAATCTATTACAATGAACACTAATTTCCCCAATGTCTGAGTATAGACTAAAATTAAAATAATAAAACTCCACCTAGTAGAAAAAAGCAGCCCTATACCTGCTGTTTCTCTTTAAAAGAAACCAGCCAAGATATTTTCAGACTTCATGAGCCTGATCTGGACCCAAAATTCTATGACAGGGATTCCTGCAGTATCAGGAGATTGCACTTAATGAACCAAGAATCTCTGTAAATCTTGTATCATACTGGGAAATTGCTGGACTTAAGACAAACTTGGCTGTAGGAAACAATGCAGCCTTTTCCCAAAATTCTTTCTGTCTAACAGTTAGACTGCATATGATCCAAGAGAATTCCAGGGTGGTTTACCCACAGTTAAAGTAAAATTAACATAAAATAGAATTTAAACATGATTTTTAAATGCCTAAATATAGAAGTGTCTGAAATTGGATTCAAAACACTCATTAAAGCATTGAGCTTGCCTGCTAAGAAGGATTTCAGTCTGCAGCACTCTATCCCGGCAGACAGTTGCCATAGAAACAGCATTTCTCACTGTGAACTCCTTGCTGGGGGTGCAAAGGGAACTAATGATTCACAGCTATTCCTACAATTTTATAGATTACCTGTAGTTTAGAAATCTGTGCAGAGATGTGAACTTTCATTTCATGGAAAGTACTGACCATGTCTGATCTATACAAATCATATTTGTGTTTGAAAGACAGAAGATGTTCTTGAAGGAAAAAAATCCTACCAGTATACTTTAGGAAAGAATTTTAGACACCTAAAAGAAGTGATACCACTGCAAAATCAAAGAAAACCTAGCACATAGATAGGCTATCAGCAAAATAAATTTATATTTGCTTACATATTCTATTATAAAAACAAATTTACCCTAGCTCAGAAACTTCCAAACTTTTTTTACACATCTGGGTAACTCTGAACTGAAACAATTCCACATTGTAATCCAAATCTGATTCAATCAAAGATTACAAGCCAAAAGTCTTTACTCCACTGATTAATTAAAATGAATAAGGATAAATTTATGCGGCCAAGAATGATTCAGGAAGACAAGAGTTTTCAAAGCTGTTTGACCCAGTATTATCCTAAAAAAAGTGAATTTATTATCAGTTAATAAGAACCACAACCTATTACAACCATTCATATATATGCCTATTAACTGACCTAGTTGCTTCAGGCAATCTACCAAAATGGCAAAAATCACTCAGTTCATCTCCAGTGAATGCCTGATTTTTATAGAAGATCTAGACTTGAGGACAGTAGAGAACTTTTGGTTGAAGGAAGTAAAAGCTAGAGGAAAACTGTTGAACACTTATGGCACTATAATCCATGAAATATATTGTTAAATTGGCATTTTGGGGCCAAAATTCATTAGTCTGCTGATGTTTCAGAGACTATTAAGCTTCCATAGCCCAGATTCAGGTAAGATTCTTAAGTATATTTGCATCATTCTTTAAGAATAATAATTTTAATTAAAATGGCATGAAGAGAAGCATTGATGGATACATTCACAAGAAACAAGTTGTGTTAATGAATTTAATCCCCAAACCACATAGTGCAAAACCTTCTGAGCCTAGAACAACAGTCTGCTAAGGGCACTTGGCATCTCAGCTACAGTCACAAATCCTTTCCTTCCTTCCTGTCTCTGTCCATAAATTCTGAGGATTCTCTCTGCATGAGGTTCAATTTTCAAAAGGGTAGGGTTTGTGGGGAAGAAGTACAAATATGTTTCACTGCAGCCCCATCCATAATCTGTTGATTATACACCTTTTCATGAGAGTGACATTTCACAAGTTCATCAATTCTCTTACTTTTGGGGGCAAAACACCGTTAATTCCTAGAGTTCTGTAAAAACACCCCCAGATTTGAATAATGTCACCAGTAAAGAAAGTCATTAGAGGTAACACAACCACCCAGGGGACAGAGTGCTTAGCTTAAATACTGACACACGCAGCAGCACAGGAGTGAGGATTTATGTGGTTTGCTCTCTGGATCTATTCAACTGCACCTATGACATGTTAATGTTTCTTTGGATGTTACCAAAAGCAGATAAAAATTCTTGTGCTAAAGCCATCCCCCCACCAGTTATAGTCAGCTCTCCTAGTATTCTTTTTCAGCAGTATTAGTTGCATATATAATTGAATGTTTCTTTATATATGCTGTTGTGGAGGAATGGCTATGTGAAAAGGGACATGATTTCCTTGGAGCTGACAACCCAGCTTGTAGCATGGTGTAAGGCCTACAGCAGCTGTGACTGAGCCTTGAACCTGCTGATAAGGAGCAAGCTCTGCCTGGCAGAGCTGGCTCCGACCGGCTCCGGGTCCGGTGTCAACAGGCTCCTTGGAATTCCTGGGAAAGTCCTGGAGTGTGGACAGACACCTGCTTGCACCAATCATAAGTTTGCCCTGGACACTTGGACAAGGGCAATGAACCAATCATGTATCCGCTGCGTTTGCGTACTCTGTGTGAATATCTATATATATTTTGTAAGCACTAAAAATAAAGGAGAACAACCATACTCATATTGAGACTCATCGTTACTCCGGGTCCGGATCCCACTCCAACATGCTGTAGCTATTTTATTTAGGATTTTTACTAGACGTAGAAAAAGAAATACCATTTATATTAATAAATAAATGAATTGTCCTCTCTTTCAGCATCGTGGTGGGTCCTCAATAACAACTAAACAACCAGAACCTGTGGTTCCAAGTATTGTCAATGTTGCACTGTTTTTCGTTACGCCAAAATTTATATAGCAGCGTACAGGTGTGCTGGGTTATGAATTCATGATGTGATAATGTTTGATATTATGGATGTGATCTTTTCCACTTTATCCATTTAAAAAGCTGGAAAACAGCATATTTGTTACCTTCTTGTGACTAGTTCAGTGAAATAATGTATTCTAAAAGCTGAAATAAGACAAGTATGATAGTGTTTGTTGTGCATAATCAGAAAAGTACATCTTGATTTGTATGACTAAATATTTGTGAAAAGTTTTAGTCTTGCATTAATAAACAACAGTTACTTAATGCTGCCATGTTCTCCTTTTACAGAAGAACTAGGTATGAACATGACCACACATTTTCATACATGTTTTCAGAGGAGCTGTTAAGTCATTGAGAGAATAAACATAGGGAAAACTCTTTGTGCTCATAGAGAACTTTTCTCATACCGGATATTTTCTGTCCATGGCATGACAAGGCAGTACTATCTCCTCTTCACAGACTCTTGTCCCTACCCTCACAAGAGGAAACATATCTGCCTGTCTGTCAAGCCACTACACATCCACAGACTTAACATTTCACAACCAATTCGCTTTGAACTCTATGTCCTGACCACTCAGAAAATATTTTCATTAGACCTCTGGCAGCTCCCTGAAAAGTCATTAGAGAAACTGCTATTAGAGCATAAATAGCCATAAACCTTGAGCTAATTTGGAGATTCTAGCAGGGGGGCAGAGCTACCGTACACCCTTGTCCAATAAACCGTTTGGTCTCTATGGAGGAGGTTGCCCTCTTCAACCGAGTGTGCAGCTATGGAGGGGACACGCATGGAGAGTTGAGGGAGGAAGGGGACACATTCTTAGCCATCCAGCTCAGTTCAATCAACCCTGGCGATCAATGGGGTGACAGATGTTGCACCCAGACTGCCATCACATCCAGAGACCTGGGGGCCTGGGCAAGATGAACATGGGCCAACAGTGTGCCCAGGCAGCCAGGAGGGGCAACCATGTCCTGGCATGCATCAGGCACAGCACCACCAGTCAGCTGGGGGAGGTGACGGTCCTGCTCTGCTCTGCTCTGCACTGGTGTGGCCTCGGCTCAAGTACTATGCGCAGTTTTGGGCACCACAATTTGAAAAAAAAAGAAAGATACGAAGCTCTTAGAGAGCATCCAAAGGAGGGCTACTAAGATGGTGAAGGGCCTAGAGGGGAAGCCATACAAGGAGCAGCTGAGGTCACTTGGTCT